GAAACTATAGTTTGAAATCCAATAACTTGCACCATGTTTATCATCTGCATAAGCCCATAAAAGATAGATCAAAGCTTAGGGGCCTAAAGAAAAGCAAAATTGAGCCTCATCTCTACTTCAGGGTGAAAGGGAAATAAGTAAAATATTTAATGGACAGTGTATATTTTGTTGCTAGTAATATAAACCAGGTCACTACTGCCAAAGCAAAGAATAATTTTTTACTTAATTTGTACAGGTATTTCCTCAATATTATATTTTGGGTAGGTTGTGACAGCCAGGTAAATGTATGCAATCAGAAAAATAAAAGAAGAGGGACGCCTGGGTGGCTCAGTTGATTAAGTGTCTGCCTTCAGCTCAGGTCATGATCCCAGGGTCCTGGGATGGAGTGCCGCCTCAGGCTCCCAAGCCTGCTTCTCTCTCTGCCACTCCCCCTGCTTCTCTCTCTGCCGCTCCCCCTGCTTGTGCTTGCTCTCTCTCACTTTCTCTCTCTGACAAATAAATAAAATCTTAAAAAAAAAAAAAAAGAAGTTGATGAATAGAATGCCCCCAGCTACATGCTTTTCTGGCCTTGTCTGCTGGGCCCTCTGCCCTGAGCTGCTGCTTCTGTAATGCTGATCCACTTTAGTCCCATGCTGTCCATGCCCTCATGCCCTTTAATAGCTTTTCCATCCCTGGGACAAAACTTTGATAAAGGCATCATCTGTTTCCTCCTTGACCACCCCCTTGCTCAAATAATTAATTACTCCCTTTTAGACTATGTCTGTGCTTCGTGTATGTACACATACACACACACACACACACACACACACATCACTGTCAGATGATTGTAAAGATTTTACTCTTCCGTATTAATGTGTAAGATCTTTGGGAGTTGTGAATATTCTGTGCACGTTGATCTTGACATACTAGTGACTTGCTCAGTACTTGATATAATGACACAGTAGGAATTTGTTGGATTGGCCTACATGAAGGGATAGGTATTTCCATCTTAAAGTCATTGGTTGGAAATAATCCTAATACCATCTATTTTTTGTTTGTTTTCATGGTGTAGCATCTAGCATTCTAGAGCCACCTTTAAAAAAAAAAAAAAGTAGAATTCATTCTTTCTCCCAAGAAAACTCCTTTAACCCTGTGGCTTTTAGGAAACAAACTGAGGGTTGCTGGAGGGAAGGGGGGTGGGGGGATGGGGTAACTGGCTGATGGACATTAAGGAGGGCACGTGATGTAATGAGCACTGGGTATTATATAAGACTGATGAATCCCTGACCTCTACCTCTGAAACCCATAATACATTATATGTTAAATAACTGAATTTAAATTTAAAAAATTACAAATGTAGTAAAAAGAACATGTGGAGCTTCTAAACAAGTATATGGGTAAAAATAACATTTATCCTGCTTTATTGAGGCCAAGATTAGATCAGTACATTATCATTCTGGATTTGCCACTTTCTTTCCTCTTTAAAATAATGAAATGTTTAGGTTTTCTGTAAGAAGCATCCATATAGACTTTAACAGTTGTCCTATATGTATACATAAACACACAGGGAATGATTTGAGAGATATCTCCAAAGACAATTTGAGGAATCTCTATTGTTGCTGAAGTTCATGAAGATATTTTTTTTTTCATGAAAACAAATCTTCATTAAAAACATGTTAAACAATCAGATTGTTTAACATTAGGGATTGAGAGATCATTGAGAATGATCCACATTAGGGATATATGTTGAAGAGTGGTTCTGAGAGAAATAGGTCTTTGGAAATGTGTGGGGATAAAGTTTTTGGATTTTTTTTTTTTTTTTTTTGCAAGGGAAGCAGTAATATAAGGACTAGGAAATATTATTGACACTTAAAGGGTGGCAACCAGGGATGATAAACATCCTCCACAACAAAGATAGTCCTTCACAAAAAAGAGTTGTTCCAACCACGATGCTAGTAATGCTCCCCTGAGAACTCCAATGGTATGTGGCCATAGCTAGCTGCTGACTGGACCTGACAAAGTAAAAATGGGGCTATTAAGGAAAAAGCTAGAGTAAGTGGCAGTGTGTCAACAGCATGACATAGTCACCCAGCCCTAAGATTTGCTTCAGCTCAAGGAATCTACCAGAAAAGTAAGAATATAGAATAGAAAAAAGAAGAAGATGATGACGACAATGATGAGGAAGAAAGAAAAAATAAAAAGAAAGAATGAATCTGAATCATAGACACAACTCATTTGCCAGGAAGTTCTTTATCAGAAGAAGCACATCTTTTTGGTCACAGTATCTCCAAACATCCATCTTGTTTAAAAAACAAAAACAAAACTATTATATGACTAATATCCTATGAAGAAAAAAAAAATCCAGTCCATTCATTCAGCAAATATTAAGTATATTCTTTAGTACAGGTTGCTTTAGTTTCTGCTAATTGAATGTCAAATGAAAACAGACATGGTCCATCCTCTAATGTGGCTCAAGGTCTAGAGAGATTTATCAGATTCAAAAGGTTTCTTTTTTTTTTTACAAAAATATTCCCATTTTGAAGACTGAGTAATATAAGAGATCTTTCCTTTGCATTTAAGTGAAAATGGAGTTATAATATCACAAGTATTAGGACAAAAGCCATGGTCACGCCCAAAGAGAAGGGACCAGTAAGCAGCCTGAAAGGAAAAGATTTCTGGTTAATAGCAGGTATATATAAATGTATACATTGTGAGCCCATTTTTTTAAAATTTTTATTTAAATTCTTATTAACATATACTGTAGTATTGGTTTCAGGAGAAGAATTTAGTGGTTCATCACTCGCATAGGACACCAGTGCTCATCACAAGTGCCCTCCTTATTCCACATCACCCATCTAGCCCAACCCCCACCCACCTCCCTCCATCAACTCTCAGTTTGTTCTCTATCATTAAGAGTCTCTTAAGGTCCCCCTCTTTTCCGCCCTCCCATATGTGTGACCCCATTCTTTATAAACTGAGTTAAAAGATAAACAGCTTTGCTACATATTCCCAATTGCTTTGAACTATAGTTCTCAAACGGATTCAGCTAAGCTTTCTTGTCATCTCAGTTTTAAAAATTGTTTGTTTGTTTTGCTTGGCAAGTAAAGCTTATCATCCAAATCAAATAATAGAATAAATTAAAAGGGGGGAAATAGCAGGAGAGTCTGCATCTCAATTATCCAATTTGGTTTCCTATAATGGCCAATTTTCCCAGATAATTGTTTATTTCTTTTACTTTGTCTCTGCCTAAGAAAAAAGGATGTAAGTCCTTTACTTTCCCCTTATGTCCGCTTTCTCCACAGTAGCCAAATCATTTAAAGATAGACCTTAGTCAGATCAATAGGATTTACAGGAACTATGGCCAATCTACAGAATGATATTTATACAAAGATTGTCATTGCAAAATAAAGATCACTTTGGTAATATTTAATATATATATAAGTTTAGTCACATCCTTACTTGTCAGTACCTCTTCCCAAAGCAGGACGAATGTTTGCAGAGGAATGATTGGCCTCCATCTGCTGGACAAGATGTGAGTTTGGTGTCCCAGAGCTGCCTGTGCACTCTGTTAAAACCTCAGCTGTACTAAATCCCTAACTCAGCATTAGAGAAAATAAGAAATGATCAGAAGATGTTGATTTTATGCTAAATTTATCAATCAAGTGAACTGAACTGTTTCCAAGAAAAAGTCCTACAATTATTTTTTCTCATTGAAAAATGTTCTTAAAATGTGGTCCTCAGACTGGTGGCACTCTGCATCATTTAGAGAACTTGTTGGGGGTGCGGGCGCCTGGGTGGCTCAGTTAGTTAAGCCTCTGCCTTTGGCTCAGGTCATGATCCCAGGGGTCCTGGGATGGAGCCCCAAGTCCAGCTCCCTGGTCAGTGGGGAGTCTGCTTCTCCGTCTTCCTCTACCCTCCCCCTTCTCATGCTCTCTCTCTCGCTCACTCTGCTCTCTCTCAAATAAATAAACAACTAAATCTTTAAAAAAAAAAAGAAAAAGAGAGCTTGTTGGAATTGCAAATTCTTGACCCCACCTTAATTATCAGAAATTCTTGGGGTGAGGCCCATTAATCAAGCCTCTCAGAGGATTCTAATGCATCTCAAAGAGACGTAGGCATAGATTATGTCATAGAATATAACTGCTTAAAAAGCTACAAAGACATAATTTGTGATGCTACCAATGTATAATGAGGGAAGCCCTGAAAGAAAACAATACAAAGAAGAGAAAAGGAAAATTAAGTTTTTCCTTTGGTTTCAATCTAGTGACTAGACTTTATCTTTCTAGCGTGATAAACAGATGCCTTGGCAAAAGAAAAACTGGCTCATGAAGCTCTGATAAAAGATCACAGGAAATATTTGCTTCAAATTTCGCATAACTATTTGTTTTATCCGGAACCTCTGATGAAAGATCACAGGAAATATTTGCTCCAAATTTTGCCCAACTATTTGTTCTAAGGGAAATTATTTTTCTTTCCAGCTACACAGTTGTTTTCTGTCACTTGGGAAAAGATTTTTTTTTTTTTTTTTTAGGTAAGGAAGAAATGTTACCTCTCACTCTCAAAAGACACACATGTATAAAGACAGATATGCATTTGTCCATAGAAAGATACGTGAGTAGATTCCATGCCGGTCTATCTTTCAGTGTGAAAATTAAAACTTATGGGTAGATACAATATATTGCTAGATGTGGCAGATAGGTAAATTTAAGTAATTAATCATACTTTTTCCCTTGCTAAAATTGAATTTTATATTTTTAAATTTTTTTTAAGATTTTATTTGAGAGAGAGAGACAACGAGCAGGGGGAGGGGCAGAGGGAGAAGCAGACTCCCCCCATGCGGGACTTGATCCCAGGACCCTGGGATCATGACCTGAGCCAAAGGCAGACGCTCAACTGACTGAACCACACAGGCATCCCTAAAATTGAATTTTAATTTTAAATTTCAACTTGAGACATTATGCCACAGGGCCCTAGACCTTTCATGTGTAACTAATGTGTTTTTCCACGTGTCTGACAGAAAGATGGAACGGTGGAATAGCTTTCTCGATCAACAGGATGACACTGATAACTGCTCAGAATCCGTGAAGTTTGATGCCCGCTCCATGACAGCCTTGCTCCCTCTGTGTAAGTACAAGAGGACGGTGCCTGTGGTGGTTGTCCTTAGAGTTAGTGACACTATGTAAAATTACAGTCCTGGGACTTACCTTTCATGTGCATGAACGTGAAGACTTAGTGGACAAGTAGGTCTTCTCCTCTTTTGAGACAGAATAGAAAATAAGCTTAGGTTGGACTAAGGAAGCTTGGTTACAGGTTAAACTAGTCCACAGTGTTGATGGTGTCCTCTGATTTCGCAGCCACTGGATGAAGTCCTGGAAGTAACTATATCCCTAGCACCATTAATTGATATTTGAAAATCATGGGTGGTATGTACTTGTATTAGTCTCCTAGGGCTGCTGTCACAAATTACCAGAAATTGGGTGGCTTCCAACAACATTTGTTCTCTTACAGTTCTGACTGCCAGAAATCTGGAGTCACAGTGTCGGCAAGGCAGTTCTCCCTTTCAAGGCTCTTCCCCGCCTCTTCCTAGATCCTAGTTGCTCCTGCCTGTTCTTCTTGTTCTTTGGCTTGTAACTGCATCACTCCTGTCTCTGCCTTCATCTTCCCATGGTCTTCCTCCTGTGCCTTTGTGTCCTCTACTCTCCTTGTAAGGACACCAATCATGGGACAACGGCCCACCTGAATCCAGTATGACCTCATCTTCACTTGATTATACTGCAAAGACCCCACTTCCAAATAAGGTCACATTCGCAGGCAACTGGAGTTAAAGACATCAGTGGTATCTTTTGTGGGGAAACAATTCAATCCACAATAGTGCTGAAACAGAGCTTTGCAGGGTTACAGGAGCTCAAAAAAATCATTATTCGGTTATATGTGGACAGGTTCTATTAAGGCAGCAGGACTGAGTTGCATATAATTCTGCTAACCTTTAAAGGCTGAGTACATTTCACCAAAAGGGTAGGGTGGGTGAAAGAGGACCCACAGAAATTTCAGTCAGAGGAAGCAGCATATGCAAGGGGCAAGACGGATGAGTTCTTACACAGACAAACCTGAAATACAGACCATAACCCCAAGGTATGACGGGTATTGTGCACAACACAATTGATGGGTGAGAGAATATGGCATGGATGAGACAAAAGGAAAAAGGATCCTAGTAAAACTGTTTAAGGTAAAGATGTTGAGAGATTGAGGAGGGAGGACAGAGGCACTGGGGACAGAGAAAAGGCCACAGGAACTTTGGAGAGCTACTTATTTTTTTTTTTTTTTAAGATTTTATTTATTTATTTGAGAGAGAGAGAATGAGAGAGAGCACATGAGAGGGGGGAGGGTC